GCTGCCACAAAACATCTTTTTTTTTCTAAAGGCTCTTCTGAACTTTGATATGTGCCAAGACACCGCTATTGAAAGCTGTATAATTATGTGCTATAGCCACTGTAGAAAATGCTTTGTTCACCACAACAAAGAACAATAAGCAAAGTAAAGTGACATTACACTGTATCTTTTTCTTTAAGAATGTTGAGAAAGGTCACGGTACGTTATAACTAATAAAGCTGTTGAGTAAGGAAGTTTAAAGTTGATCTTGCTGTGCTTAAATGTAACCCAATGACAAAAAGACAGAGGGAACTAAAATTGTAATGACATTAAAAAATAGATCATATATCAACGTACCAACTTCATTATACAAACACCTTGAATCCAAAAGGACGCAAACAGGAAAACCGAGTGTAGTCCTGCAACAGTATTCCTCTGGCGATTCTCTCCCTAATAGCTTCCACCTACAATCTGCAGTTCCACTAACTGCAAAATCTGATTAATAGGCATTAATTGATACGTGCAATGCACGGACCTTCTATTGCAAGCCGTGGATTTTGTTACTTGATTAAAAACCGGGTTCGTTTCCTGTGCAGTCTGAAGGAAGGCTCTGCTGTTTCACAAGTGAGCCTCTTCAACATTTAACAAGGAAAAAACCCCTCAGGGCATCAATTACATTTCCTGCAACCAAGACTTTTAAGTGGGAAAGAAGTTCCATCTAGACACCTATGTTTCAGTTTGTCTTCAAAGGAATCAGGCCAGTTACATTTGCTAATCTCAAACTGCTGAAGCAGCTTGGCTCTCCTTGCTGCAGAACACCAGGCTCTGACAACTCTGTCTTTAAGAATGCTGAGAACGATGTTGAAACGCTACAACAATAAAGCCCTTGAAAGGAGGAAGGATACAGCTGAGGGAAAAAATACGAGGAGTTTAGTATTGGAATAAACAACTGCTCCGTTTAAGCTGTGTCCACTGCTGGTACCACCACAAGTGCAGAGACTGCCACAGCAGAGCACTTTGTATGGAAAAAGCAATCTCAGACAAGGAAGTTAGCAAGTTACGGACTTCATTTTCACTTCTCTTGAGGCCACTTTGCACTGCTCTGGTTGTGTAAAGGAGTATTAATTAGGGTGGTTATAAATTGTACTTCACAGCGCCTGTGTATTACAAAACCACTCGTAAGTGGCCTTAGTTTAAATAAGAATCAGGTTCAAAGGCTTTAAATTCTGCTTTTGATGAACACCAATTCAGCTCAAGATGAATCCTGCAGATGAAACTGGGGAAGAATACAGCCTCCTAAAATAAACACATGCGTGGCCAGAATTATTGGTCATTTAGGTTGTCTTAATTTTTGGATGCAGTGCTGGGCACACTTCGTTTTCAGGGAACAGACCATTGAGGACCTCCTGACAAAGTGGCTCTCATTGAGCTCGAGTTTAGCATCCCAGAATGGAATTGGCCTAAACCCATCGTCACTTCTGAAAATGTTGGCAGCCAGCATTCCTCTCAAGGGTTCATAGGCCACTTATGTGACTGGCTTATTACTTAGATTTAATAGGTGGTGTTCTTTGACTGGTTTTACATAATCTCATTGATTATTATGGGGCTAACTCAGAGTGCCTTAAGTTAAGCATTCTGCTAAGGCTTGAGTACAACTGCTCTTAATTAAGGTTTTCCCACTAGCATGGTTTTCCCTTGCCAAAAGCAGAGTAAATGTCTTAAAACCAGGTTTCTCCCCCTTCTAAACAACGACACGTGCCATAAGTAGCGCTATTAAAAGAGGAAATCAGTGCTTCAAGCCCCACTGTACCAAACCTGCACACAGTGTATTTGTGCAAATAATGCAGCTTGGCAGATGCCTCACTATTGTGATCAATCTCAATAACTACGTCTGCAAAACCAGGCGAGTTCCCGGGAAGCAGCAGGCAGCTGAGCTCAGAAAGATGCCGCGTGTGGGGCTTGCTCTGGTGCTCATTTGCTCACTACACAGAGGAGCATGGTGAGTGTAAGGAGTAGGCAGGAGGGCACAGAGTGAACTCGCTCGCACAGGGAGACCCCGAGACTTCAGAACTAAGACCTGAGTGTCGTTAAATGGCCACAAGGAAAAGGAACGAGCATCGTGCAGAGAGACGGTAATGCACAGAGAGCAACGGTAACTATAGAAAAATATCAGGGAACAAGGATGATGGAGGAGGAGCCCACGCAAGGCTCAAATCTGGGTATTGTCCTCAGGCCAATTCTTTTTCTTTTTGCAAGTACATACATTGAACAATAAAAATCTTATTTATGATTTTTAACCATAATTTTATCTTAACTCACAGCATGGTCCCTTCCTTGTCTGAAATCATCCTGCCACGGTCGCAACTGTGAGCTCTGCTCATCTGTGTTAGGATGGGTTTTGCAAGAGAGTGATGAAATTATTTGGGATTATTTTTTTTATCTTTCAATGCATAGCAACAATACCTGACTTTAATTATTGCAGCTGGCATTCAAAAGCCTATGGCAACACCACAGATGAGGCAGATATCAAGTGGCACAGCAAGCTGTCCTCTCTTTCTGACCAATTTTGGCGTTTATGCTGGGACACTGACATTTGTGGCTTTCATTCACCAGGACAAGCCACCTTCTCCCTCCCTGGAAGTATAGCCCCAGAGCAGAGAAGCATCTTCGCCTTCCAGTGTGGTTTTATTTCCTCCCCTTTCAAAACTCAGTTTCAAATTGCTCTGCGCAGCTCAGCACAGGTTTCCCCAGCTAATGTGAGAGAGAGAAATGCGGAACTGGCTACAGACACACATGTGCACACAAAACACAGGCAAAGTTGTGTCGCTCTGGAGGAGGCGTATCTGTCTCTGGCTCGCAGCCACGAGGGTACAATGGCAAAGCTAAAACCGATAGGGCATGTGGTTTGTTAAACATCTTATTTGACTTTGCTACAAGCTGTCAGTTGCAATGCGCAGGGAAAGGAACACAGTATCACAGATTCCTCAGCAAATCAATGGCACAGCCTGATATGGACCAAACACACTTTTAGCTTTAGCATTTTTTTTCCTAAGAGTCAATTTAGGAGTAGTAAAGTAAATACATGAATTTCACCCAAGAGGAGATAAAGGGGGAACATTCAGAGTAGCGGTGTGGGTGATTTAAAAGAAACAGCATCAGACTCACCAGAAGACCGGCAAAGCATCATTGAAGTATGAGAGGAAGGAACTTTGATGATGCTAAATATGGCAAATGCTCAGTTTGCTGAATCCTTTTGGATCCAATTTCAACATTATAGTACTTGTCATTTTTGCTTCACAGTTTGTGGTGGAGGGGCCGGGCATTTATCAGGGAAAGTTACACTGTCTGCATTAAAAACTGCACTGCACAGTGTCATGATCTCAGGACTGCTGGATCTTCACTGCAAAACCAAGATTTAAACCACTAGGAAATTCTCATCATGCTAGATAACACAAGAAAGACTGAGGGAAAGCATCTGCAAATCATCACCATTTATAACATCTCTTCCCCTCAAGGATGGGGGGAAAACCCCAATGGGCTCCTTTCCTACCAGCTCAAAGCCCCCCTGGCTGAGAAGAGGAGACTGCAATCACAAGCAATGCTAAACACAGGAGATTTATATCCTTTTCTACCTGGAAACACCCATATGCTCCCTACTGAAGTAACCCATTCACATTAACACTGCAACTAACATTTTAAAAAGCAGTAATAAGTGCCTGAAGTCATCAAGGGTATGAGAACTTTTGAGGGCAGAAAACGTTTCAACCTACGTTCTGCAACCAGGAAAAAGCTGTGTTAAAAGGAAGAAGAGTTTGATGTCATTTAAGTCCATTTTGACAGAGAAAAAAAAATCCCTACAACTGGTCCCACTTATTTCCTTATGCATTTCCTCTTCTTTTCCTGTATTCAGTTATCATTCCTTGGCATTCAGGCAGACCTGCCTCCCAGGGGTGGGAGTCTCCTGTCTTGTGAGTACGTGGGGACCAGAGGCCTCAGGAGGTCCTGGGGGGCCACGGCACACCAAACATCAAGTCTGGATGTTGTTGTCAGCCACAAGGAACGGCAGCCCCCTTGAGAACATCCTCTTTCCCCCTCTTTCTTCATCTGCCCCCTCCATGCAACCATTCTCCCAGAAAACTCTACATGCCCGGAAGAGGAGCTGAGAAAATCTTTGCTTGGAGACCTTACTGCATCATCTGAACCTATGTGCTATGAGAACGAGCACTGCTAAAAATCACTTGGAAGGATTTTAGGCAGGAAACCACCCTCCTTATGCCAACAAATGTCACTTCTGCAACTGTCAATTATGCAAGTTGACCCCAACAGAAAGGTGCAGGCAAAACCAAGCAATTTAATAATTAGTACCACCATGGCTTTCCCACTCCACTTCACTGGGAGAGGGGATTACTCAAGCCTCCCCCTCATGCACACCCTGTTCAAATGCATCATTACATCTGACTACCTGAACAATGCAAACTGCCATCCTCAGCAGGGAGAAACACTCTCCCGTGGTATCGCCGAGGGTCAGCATGTTAATGATAACAATAGTCTGCTGAGCTACCAGGCTGGCCTGTAAACAGGCATCTTAATCAAAGCCACAAACCTGTTACAGCAGAAAACAGAGAGCATTTACTTTGAGCAGTTATTTTATCCTGCAGCTTGACAAAGGAAATGCATTTTAGTTCTATAAATCAAATGAAGGAAAGCAGAAGAAGGTAACTGCAAGTGTTTGATCACACAGTTACGGAGGTTAGAAGAGTTGTGAGGTGACTTCTTTCACTATTGTCCCTCCTAAAGGAAACTTCAAAAAGTAGAAACTAGTGAAAACTTTCATCTCTTGTCAAGTCCTAGTAAGGCATAAGCCTCCAGCTCCCAGGGCTGAACAGATTAATCAGCATCATTCAGGGATGTGGAACACCCAGACTCTACCGGCCACGACAAAAAGGGACATTATTTTATAGGCAGGCTGGACCACGGAGCATCTCACACACACGCACAGAGAAACAAAGATGGGTGCCTAC